AATTATATAAATATACAGAAAAAAAATATACCCAACACTATAACCCTAATCATACATAAAACATACAACATAATCCCAAAATTATATAAATATACAGAAAAAACATACCCAACACTATAACCCTAACCACCACACATAAAAATCCCAACATACAACAACATAATCCCAAAATTATATAAATATACAGAAAAAAACATACCCAGCACTATAACCCTAATCATACATAAAAAAAAAAACATACATAATCCCAAAATTATATAAATATACAAAAAAAACATACTCAACATTATAACTAATCACACCTAAAAATCCCATCATACAACATAATGGCAAAATCACATAAATATACAGAAACAAAAAAACATACCCACCACGATAACCCTAACCACACCTACAAAACCCCAACATACAACAACACAATCCCAAAATTATATAAATATGGCAGAAAAAATATACCCAACACTATAACCCTAATCACACATAAAAATCCCAACATACATAATCCTAAAATTATATAAATATACATTAAAAAATATACCAACACTATAACCCTAATCACACATAAAAATCCCAACATACAACATAATCCCAAAATTATATAAATATACATAAAAAATATACCAACACTATAACCCTAACCACACATAAAATCCCATCATACAACATAATCCCAAAATCATATAAATATACAGAAAAAACATACCAACACTAAACCCTAATCACACATAAAAATTACACCATACAACAACATAATCCCAAAATTATATGAATATACAGAAAAAAATATACCAACACTATAACCCTAATCATACATGAAAAAAAACATACAAAAACATAATCCCAAAATTATATGAATATGCAGAAAAAAAGTACCCAACACTATAACCCTAACCACACATAAAAATCCCAACATACATAATCCTAAAATTATATAAATATACATTAAAAAATATACCAACACTATAACCCTAATCACACATAAAAATTACACCATACAACAACATAATCCCAAAATTATATAAATATACAGAAAAAATATACCCTATAACTATAACCCTAATCATACATAAAAAAAAAAAACATACAACATAATCCCAAAATTATATAAATATACATACAAAATATACCAACACTATAACCCTAACCACACATAAAATCCCAACATACAACAAAATCCCAAAATCATATTAAATATACAGAAAAATATACCCAACACTATAACCCTAATCATATAAAAAAAAAATATACAACATAATCCCAAAATTATATAAATATACAGAAAAAAAACATACCCAACACAATAACCCTACCCACACCTAAAATTCCCCAACATAGAACAACATAACCCCAAAATCATACGAAAAAACACCCTTCAACCCGACGCCCCGGTACCCAACAGGTGGGCCGACGCATCCGAACCGAACTGGGGCTTCGCGGTTCTCAACGACAGCAAGTACGGATGGATGGCGAGAGGGAACCGCTTGACCCTTTCCCTGCTGAAGGCCCCGAAGTCTCCTGACGGTGCGTGCGACATGGGGAGTCACGCGTTCAAGTACGCCCTCATGCCTCATGTTGGTGAGTGAGGCAGGTGGGAGTTTCTGGTTGTGTGTGATTTTTCTTTTTCTTGTTTTTTGTTTGTTGTTGTTGTTGTTGTTTTTCTTCTTCTTCTTCTTCTTCTTCTTCTTCTTCTTCTTCTTCTTCTTCTTCTTCTTCTCTTTCTTTCTTTCTTTCTTTCTTTCTTTCTTTCTTTTTGTGTGTGAGTTTCGTTCATCGTTCATTTTCCTTTTGTTTTTTTTATTTTTTATCGTTATTCTCCTCTTTCTTCATTCTCTTCGTTATCTACGTCATCTTTTGACTTTTCTTTTTAATTTTAATTTCTTCCCTTATTTTCTCCACCTCCGTCATCTTCAACTTACCCGTTTCTTTTCTTCCCCTTTCTCTTTTTCTTCTTCCTTCCTTCTCTTCTTCATCGTCATCACTTTCACATTTCTTCCTTCTTCTTAAACCTCATTATCTCTTTTTTTCCTCACTTCTTCACCATCTTCCTCATGTCTCTTCCCTTTCTCCTATATTTTCTTCATCTCCTTCCTTCCTCCTCTTTCTACTTCACCATCATCTCCAACATTCCATTTCTTCTCCCTCTTCATCTTCCTTTTTCACCCTTCTCATCTTCACCATCTTCCTCATCTCTCTTCCCATTTTTTTCTTTTATATTCCTCATATACTTCCTTTTCCTCCTGCTCCACCATCCTCATCACCATTATCCTTCCTCCTTTCTTTACTTCTCCATCACCATCTCTTCTCTCAGTCTTCACCATCTTTTTTAATCCTCACAATCATCATCTTTCTTCATCCTCACAATCATCATCTTTCTTAATCTCCACAATCATCATTTTTTTTCACTCCTTCTTCTGCGCCTCCTTCAGGTACAGTGAACGAAGCCGGAGTCGTGAAGAGGGCATACGAATTCAACAATCCCCTACGCCTCCTTGCGCTTCCTTCGGCCACGACCTCGACGCAGTGAGTCACGCCGCCTTCGGGATTCATGAGGCGTTCGATTCCGTTCGTTCATGGCTTGGGTTTAGGGTTATATGGGGTTTATTGTTTCGGTTTGGTTGAGTTTTTTTTTTAAGAGAGGTTCGTTTTGGTTTGGTATGGATCATTTTATTTTTTTCTCTCCTTTTTTTTTCTTTTTCTTTTTTCTCTCGCTGTTCCTCTTTCTTTTCTCTGTCTCTCTCTGTCTCTATTCTCCCGCTCTCTCTTTCTCTTTCTCTTTCTCTTTCTTTTTTTCTCTCTCTCTTCTCTCTGCTCTCCTCTCTCTCCTCCTCCTCTCCTCTCTCTCTCTCTCCTCTCCTCTCTCTCTCTCTCTTCTCTTCTCTCTCTCTCTCTCTCTCTTCTCTTTCTCTTTCTCCCTCTCTCTCTCTTTCCCTCTCCCCTCTCCCTCACTCCTTCTCCCGCTGTCTCTCTCCCTCTCCCTCTTCCCTCTCCCTCTCCCTCTCCCTCTTCCCTCTCTCTTCCCCTCTCCCTTCTCCCTCTCTCCTCTCTCACTCCCTTCTCCCCTCTCTCCCTCCTCCCCCTCTCTCTCGCTCTCTCTTTCTCTTCTCTTTTCTTTTGCTCTCTCTCTCTCTCTCTCTCTCTCTCTCTTCTCTCTCTCTCTCTCTCTCTCTCTCTCTCTCTCTCTCTCTCTCTCTCTCCTCTCTCCTCTCCTTCTCTCCGATCCCTCTCCCTCTCTCCCCATCCCTCTCCCTCCTCCCCTCCCTCCCTCCCTCCCTCCCTCCCTCCCTCCCCTCCTTCCCTCCCTCTCCTTCCCTCTCCCTCCTCTCCCTCCCTCTCTCTCCCTCCCTCTCCCATTCCCCTCTTCTCTCCCCCCCTCTCTCTTTCACCCTCCCCATCCCTCTCCCTCTCTCCCAATCCCTCTTCCTCTCACTCTCCATCCATCTATCTATCTATCCATCTACCTACCCCCTTCCTAGGCCCACCTGGTCGGCGCTGACCGTGGAGGGCGAGGGCGCTGTCCTGCACGCCCTCAAACCCGCTGAGGATGGGTCAGGCGAGGTCGTCCTCCGGCTCTTCGAGTGTCACGGATGCAAGAGTAAGGTGAAGTAAGTATTTAAAGGAAAAGATGTGTGTTTTGGTATTTGTGTTGTTTTGTTTTGTTGTTGTTTTGTTTTTGTTGTCTTTGTTTTTTTTTTGTATTTTGTTGTGATTTTGTACTTTTTGTATTTTGTTATTGTATTGTATTTTGTTGTTTTGTTTTCTTTGTTTTCTTGTATTTTGTTGTTTTTGTACTTTTTGTATTTTGTTTTTTGTTGTTATTTTGTATATTGTTGTCTGTTTTGTATTTACTGTGTTTTTCTACTTATTTGTATTTTGTTGATTTTGGATTCTTTGTGATTTTTGGTATTTTGTTGTTATTGCTTTCTATTATTGCTGTTTTTTTCATTCTCTCTGATTTCTTTTGTAGTCTATTTTTCGTATTTTTTAACACACCGCGAAACGCATTAAACATCTGATTCGCTGACATAATGATACTGGAATTAATAACATCGGTAATTCTGATGCCGTTTCGATGGCCTCCATAAGCCCTGTAATTCGAAAGCCATTGTGTCGTAATTACTGCAATAAACACATTACTGGAAGTGCTATTTGAACCTGACGACACATAGGTAGGTTAATTAGCCTGATATCAAAATAATATTCGTGAAATACTCGGTTGATATAGATTTTTCAGTTCATATACAGCATGATATGGTTCTTATATATGATGAGGGACTATTCATTTGGTAATGATATATATGCTAAATTTTCGTTGGTTTCTTGTTTGTTTTTGTGTTTTTGTGTGTGTTTTTTTTTTTTTTTTTACTTTATTAAAAATAAACTTCTTCCCCATTTATATATAGATATATTCACACGATTATCAACATCTAAACCTATCTACATTTGGTTATTTTTCTTTCTTTATCTTTTTCTTTCTATATGTATATCTATCTATATGTGTGTGTGTGTTGTGTGTGTGTGTTTGTGTGTGTGTGTGTTTGTGTGTGTCTGAGTGTATGTGTGTGTGTGTGTCTGTGTGTGTGTGTGTGTGTGTACATATAGGCTATCTATCTATCCATCTTTATATATATATCTATTACCTATCTACCTATCTATCTATCTATTTATCTATCCATCTCTCCCTCTCTATCCTCCATTTCACCTCCAGCCTCCGCACCTCACTACCCATCACGGACGTCCACAACTGCAACGGGATGGAGGTCAAGGGATCGCAGGCAACGTTTTCGAAAGAGGGAGACGAAACCACCATTTCTCTCTCCCTCTCTCCCTTCTCCATCGTGGCTTTGAGACTCTCCTTCTAGACTGCGTGAGGGAGAATTTTAGACTGAGCGAAGGGAGGTGTTTGGGTGTGGTTAGGATTGGTTCCCGTTTTCTGTGATGTCTTTGTTGGGTTTCGTTTTCTGTTTCTCGTTATCTTTATTTTATTTATATTTATTTTTTTG